GTTCGCATGTCATGGCCGCTTATGGTTTGTTTATTGTTCTGTTCTCAAACTCCGACCATCGTATGAGAAGGATTTGCACAAAGTGGGTGGTTGGAGACTCGACGTTGCCCCTCCGGCGAGGTAGGCTCTTAACAACCATTGTTGTCCTCCTCCTCTTCTCTGGTTCGGAATCCCTCTTGGTGAAAAACCGTAGATCTTGTCACTTTCGTTCCAATTTGCGCATCTCGGGAATTACACCGGAAAAAATGGAGAAGACGAATGCTAACACTTACTCTGCCGTCAGTCTTCGTTTCACCATCACCGCAATCCCGGTTCGGTGGAAACACTGGAAGTTCCGACAAAATCCAGACCATCCTCCGCCGCGAGTAATACCAGCCGAATGCTCACGCCGCTGCTCCAGTTTGTCGCCACGGAGGAGCCGCCTCCCACCGTCGCTTCCTCAACGCCAACCTCTACTCCGACCAACCTCCCCATGTCTTATGAACCTCATGAATATGTGGGCCTGGCCCAGTATAGTCTTCGAAGAGAGAGTGCGGTTGCCGTAAAAGTTCTCAATCCCTCACCGTCATCTCTTCAGACGAGCTTTTCCGAAGGTGAACCCACTTTACTTGATCCGGATTTGGTATCTTCGAGGTTTTTTCTCACTGTTAAATGCGATGACGACACCTCCGATGACCAACCAAGAAACTTCACCGTCTCCAACAAGCTTTTGAAGGCTTATAACGACCCATATCCAAGAGTTTCAAAACTCTCGTATGCTTTTGAGCAAATTAGCTTCTCTTTATTGAGAAGAACAAAGTTTTCTGGGTTTTCAAACCTTGTAATTTCCTCTTTTTGGAAGAGATCTCATCCATACTCTTTCCTATTCGGGAAGAGAACCGTTACACCATTTCTTCTCTCATGGAGAGTAAGATCTTTTTCGGAACCAAAACCGAGCAATTCTCTATCCAACTTGTATTCTTGTGTAGCAATCTCTAAGGGGTTAGAAGATGCAACCGTCTTCGTCTTGACGAACATCGGAGGAATGGGTAATCCTTTAAAGTCGCGTGTCAAAGCGACTAAACTTATGTTTTTCGGCTTAGCCGGGAACTCTATACCGACGCATCAAGAGTGTTTCTTTGATTCGCAGTCGTATAACTATGTGGTAGTTTGTGCTTTAGTTTATAATGCTTTTATGTATTGTACTACGATTTCGAATAACTTCAAAGTTTAATGAATGGAAAAGACGTTGCAAAAAAAAAAAAATTACCTTTTTGAATAAAACTATTTCTTTGTTTCACTTTTCATGAATTGGAAATATAATTCAGTCATTACTCATTGGTTTATACTTCTTACAAAATGTGTTTTCCAAATCTTGTCTTTAACTGATTTTTCTTTGTTGAATAAAATGCATTTTACAAAATAAATATCATCTCCTGTATTTTAGACTACAATGAATAAAATAAACATTATAGTTGTATTTTATGTAAATAAAATATGCATACACATAAGTATTACAGTAACAACATAGTATATGTTGAAATTCGTGAGATTAAGAACCAAAAAAAAAGACTCGGAGGACTGATCATGATACACTAAAAGCGAACCACAAAGATTACAACATCAATAAAGAACAAATAGAAAGCTACAGATCCCAACAATGACTCGAACCAAAGAAAGATCAGGACAGAGCCGCATCGAGCTTCCTGCAATCTTCCCATTAAACATGCCTGAGCTTGGACCAGGCGCCTCTGCTTCTGGAACAGGAGAGATCGCCGTATCTACTGGTCGGTTTTCGGTCGGTGTAGGGAAAAAAGAAGACATATCTGGTGCATTGATGTAAGGTAAAACAGCAGGAGAAGCTGAGATTGTTGATTCACTGAAAACACGAGTCCATTGAACCGATACAACGATCAAGAAAAACAGAGAAAGAGACAAGGTAGAAGACAGAGCCATGAGTGTTTCTTTTTCTTCTTTCTTCTGTTCTGCCAAAGAAAGATGACATTTTCCAAGTGAAGTATAAATAATAGAACAGAGAAGAAGACAGATTCGTTCGTTTGTAACCATGTGTGTGTCTTACTAAGAAACAAAGAATTGAATGAATGTGTTCACGGACTAAAGTATGGGTTCTTTAACTGTCTCACATGCCTAGTTTTTGGTTTCTTCCTCTCAAGTCATGTGATTGCATTTACCTCTTTTTACTTCCACCACCGAAGGGTAATTAAGTAGAAAGCTTTCTCTGTTTGAAGATTTCGTCAGAAAATCGCAATCTGAAGTAAATGTAGCGTGGTGGAGGCTTCCGGGAACTTACAGAGATCGACGATCATAAGACAATGATCTTTGCATAGATCGAAACTCATGCAAAAATTACATAAAGATTCTTTTAGGAAGCTTGCAAATGGAAAAAATCAAACAAAACAAAGGAAGCTAAAGATGAAATTTAATGAATCCTTTAGCAATTTTTTCTTTCTTTCTTTCTCAAAACAAACATACAAAGAGGCTCGTGGTGGTAGCATGTAATCTGCAACCTTGTTGATCTTTCTTCTGCAGAGTCAATTGGCTTTGTGGAAGTCTTGGAATAATTTACCAGCTCGTTGTTGTTTCGAGCTTTTAGAGAGTAAAAATAATTTGATGATGATAATGCTACAAGAGTCTAAGATGAGCGGTGTCATTTAACCGCTTTACCTGCCAACCGGTTTTCCACGAATGCTGCAACACGGTCACAGAGGAATCCTCCACACAGATCTTATGTGTCACCACCGGGCTGCACCCGAGGATACCAGTTAGAAGACACTTTATAGGTAACGAGTGTGTGAAAACTCCAATGCGGGTTGCAAGTTGAGAAGAGGAACTCTTGATGTTTATATCACCAAGGTGTTGTTCATCATTCTGATGATTAAATATCTCTTCATTACCCTCGTGATCACCGGTTGTGTTCATCACCTGAAACCGGCTCTTCCCGGATTTTTTCCTTGTAAGACTTGGACGATGAATAGAAGTAGCTAGCGAGTGCGGACTTTGCGAGAACCCTCCTCGGGAACTGTTGTGATTTGTAGATGGAAGAATCTCTGACCTGAGCTTCTCTGAAAGTCCAGAGAGTAATCCATTCAGAAACTGAACCATCCGAAACTCTACTTGTCTGAGTGATTCGCCTGACGGAGCTGAGAAATCGGGTTGGCATCTTTCTATCAAGCTTAGAGTTTCCGGTGTGTAGATCTCCGATCCATGGAAACCTTCCCAGTCTCCTAGACTCATCTCAACAATAGCATCTGAAGACTGTACATGCTCCTCTGAAAAATTCATTTCCTACACGAAGCATCAACGCAACAATCAATCCAGAAATCACTTACAAGGATCCTAACTAGTTCCATTGCAGTATTAAGGTCTAAGATCCATACACATAGCTTTTAGATCTAAGATCGTGGAGGATAATACCTGGCAAACGGAAACTGCCATAGATCTAGCTCGATCAAGAGGCGAAGAGAAGACGGAGGTGAATCGAACACCTTCAGAGTTTAAGAAGACGGCGAGAGCTCTCGCCTGACGTTTTCCATTAGCCGTGAGAGTTGCTTCATGGCACCTTCCTCCAATCAGATCAGGCCTTAGATTGAGATCGCACTCTCCATGGCTGATGAAATAAACCTCCGTCACGGCGGAACGATCGTGTTCCGATGCGGCGGAGATACGT